ACCGCTCTGTCTGTGCCAAGGGCGACATTGCCCTTTCCCATCTTCCAGTGATCCAAGGATCTTGCTGATTGCTCAGCCATGGGAATGATTTTCTCAATTTAAAATGAAGCGCTAATGTTTGGAGTTTCTTCCTCTCCACCCCCATCCTCCTTTGTCCAGTTGTTTCAAAGAAAGACTTAATTGTGCCAGGCTTGCATGAGGAAAGCCAGGCTGTCCCCAAAACCAGCCTAGAGGCAGGCGTGGAGGGCAGGAGGATGTGCCCTGCTCCCAGAGAGGGTTGGAGGGGGAGCAGGACTCCCGCTACTGCTCTTGCTTTCCTCCCCGACTCCGAGTGCAAAACCCAAATTATTCCATGCGCACAAATATACTTCACTGAGCAAGTCACGTTTTTATTTGGGCAGAGGAGCAACCAGGCTTAAAAAAGCTTATGAAACTTCCTTTGTTTTTACCTTATTAAGTTATGTGGCTTTGTGCTTTCCATCTGATTTGGACACAATTTTCTTCTTCCCCTCTTCCGAGTCTAATGTCTTCCATGGAAGAATAGGCAGCAGCCTGAGATCAAAGATTTATTTGTTCTGTTGCTAGTCAACCCATTGGCACATGCCAATTTGTTGCAATTCAAAATTAGTCACAGTGTTTACTGGCTCTCTGCCCAGTTGGTAGTTGGAGATAATGCACTGGAGTTGGTAGATACAGCGAAAGTCAGAGGCATCATTTGTGAGGGGTAGAGAGGTCAGGATATGGAACGATTTAGGAGCATTAGGCCTATCTCAGTAAGATGTAACCGCGTCCTCGTCTCTGATACAGTGGGGAGTAAGATGTGGACCTGCAGGGCTCATGTTGTGCCTGCTCTGGCTGTGGGCTTGATGACTCTCCCTTCGTCAGGGCTGGACCACTCTCAATTCAGATGTTTCAGATGCAGATTTAGCTCTGTTTGGGATCCACAAACTGCATTTATTTTTTGCCTTCCTACTCATCACCTGCATTCTCAAAATGGGTCTTTGGTCTGGGTGACCCATATGCCATGAAAAGTAGAGTTTTATTAGGTTACTGGTTCACATAATGGGTCTATATGGTGAGAACATCTGGATTACGAGTCTATATGGTGAGAATATTTGGGTTTTCAGGGCTTTTGTTGTGGCATTCGTATTTCAGAAGAGAGTGAAGGAAGGTGCTGAGTGAGAACTGTCCATGCTTTAAGCAGCTGGTGTTTATTTCTGTATTGGAAAACATAAACGTGAATCTGTTACAGTTGCTTTTTAGAGCAAAGCAGAAGTGCATCTTAGTTGGTTGATACTGCTTCTTGATGCTAGCTGCTGCTACACTGCTGGCAAGTGTTTGTCCTTAATGGTGATTGCTGTTCTACATCAGAGAGTTTGGTGGTCACAGGGCTGATGTCCAGATCTCAATTTCCTTCATGCCCAGTGCTCAAAGCAGAGCATGGGAGACCCTGTGCTAAGCAGTGCAGGGGTTTGCCCTTTGGGAATGCTTCCTCCTGTACACCTGGAAAAAAGAGGGTAAACTGCAGCCAGATGAGATGCTTCCTTTTGAGTCCTACAAAACTGTGGCATTTAGGTAATGGTCAGTCATCCTGTGAATCTTAGTCTTGCTTTTAAGAAAAACCTGCAGCTCGGATTTCCCTAAGCAAACTTTCCATTTTTCTGGGAAAAGTTGCTGGTTTTAAAGGCTATTTCATGCCTTTACTTCTTTGACCATTGCTAGCAGAATGCCAGATCTCTGATACAGAGGATTTCCAGATTCCTCTGTTACTTCTTCTGTGTTATCTCACTTCTTGAAGTATATCAATTCAAAGCTTCCTGCAAATAGTTCTGCCTGCAACAGCAGATTATAAATGCATCCATGATATGAGAGGAATGTGATCATTTACTTATTTGTTAATAGCATCTTGCCTCCTAGGATCTTAAAGTGCTTTTAAAACTTCAGTCAAACTCTGAATCTCCTTGTTCCTTGTTGCTTGTATTCAAATGCAGGGAAAACTGAGGCTCCATGGGTGGAACTTGGCTCTGTTCGGAGATGCTGCAGTAGTTGGTTGTGGTCCTAGTTTATGAGAGATGCAGAGCACCTGCAGATCTAGCTAATTGTTGGAAGAGACCTGGTTTCTGAGCAGCACTGGAAAATGGTGTTTAAGTGTCCAAAGATGTCCGGTGCCTGAGGACAAAAATGTTGGCTGGGATGATATCCCCATCCTGTCATAGTGAATCCATAGTGAGCCAAGACTGGAACCCACAGCAACACTGGAGCTCCCTCTGAAATCCATCCCATGAGGTGTTTTGTGGGATTCATACAAAGTATTCCCTCCTTCACCCTAGGTTGCACTGTCTTGAAATGGTCCCTATCCCTATGCAGGGCCAGGACTTCCCAGGTCAAGGGCAGACCAAGGAGCCTTGCCATGGTTGCTTCTTAATCTTTTAAATGCCAGATCCATGCCCAGTGTGGTTTGCCTCCAGACAGCAGCTGACAGATCACGCCATCTCTGATCCGCCCTGAGATTTGGGAGCCGCAGCGGGGTCCTGACTCTTACCCTGGTAAATCTGCTCCATTAATAGCTATCGGAGCCTGAAGTTTCCATCCGAACTTTATCTGGCTTTGCAGCAAGCTGGAGGATTAAAGACCGTCGCAGGGGAAGGGAGGGAGCAGCCATGGCTCACCCGGAATAGCCTGACCTATGACGGCACGTACCAGCCTGGGGAGGGGAGTTGTCCTGTGAGCTCACGGGTTGTTAGCAGTGAGCATAGACATGCCTGCAGTCACCAGCACACCCAGAGCCATCTGCTCCATCCCTGGCTGGTTTAGGGGGTCCAGAGGGATTTGTTAGTACAGCTTGCCTGTACGGCTCTTTGATGGGAGAGCTGGGAGCAGGCTTGAGGGCCAGCCTTGTGGAGCCATCATTTTATGCTGCTCAAATAACCTTATGGTTTGACCTCTGGGCTGTTTGTATGAGGCAGATCTGTTTTTGAGGGAGAGCGATATGAGAAGATAACCCCTGCCCTACTCAGCCCGGGTCTGTTGTCTCTCCACTGGGTTGTAGCAAGTAATAAAGGGATCAGAGCAGGCTGTACGGCTGGGACTCACCTGTAGGGCCAGCAGGCATGAAGCACAAGCCTTCATCTACTGGATGGGGGAGGAGTGTAGGAGGCAAGAGCAGTTTTTTCGGTGTAGCCAGGGATTAATTTCTCACAGCCTCTCTCTGTAACTGGTTTTGTTTTCCTTGCCTTGTTTCTCTGCTGGTGTTCCCGAGTCCTCTGTTTTACTCGCCCCCTGTCACTACCATGGAAAAATGCAGGGTTTCTTATTACTTCCTCCCCCCTCATTCAGACATGCTCCTCAGCTGTGGAATTTTTTCCATAGAGATAGGCTGTGAGTTAGAGCCCTTTCCAGTGCCCAGCGTTTTGCAGGACTTGTGCAGAGCACCTCAGCATAGCGGAACAAGATCTTCCCAACTGGCTGGATGACCCTGGCCTCAGTGTGCTTGTCCCCAGAGGAGCAGTGGATGTGCAGGTTAACTTCTTGGACATGTGGGAAGCAGGCATGTGACCACCACAATGAATAGTCTGTGAGTGCTGCTCAGTGTTTTACACCAGGAAGCACTGAGACCGTTCTAAACCTTTGACCCTGGTGACATACTCCAGATTCCTCCCAGCTAAATGGTCTCCTTCCCTCCCCTCCAGGCCTGAAGGCATCGCATCTCCTGACTAGCCAGACAGATGCATTGCCCCATAAAAAGCTCCTTTGTATCCCCAGCAATTCTATTGATCTGCACATTGGGAACATCATTCTGCTTTGGAATTTGCAGTTTTCAAGCTTTATCGTTATCGGTAATGGGTGCTACCTGCTCTTGGGTGTTACAGCTCTTTGGACATCTAGGAAGTCACCCAGCAGGTGGGAAATCCATGTTCCATGTGTCTAGAAGCCTAGGGGAGTACAGCTGACACTGGGCCTTTTGAGAAGCATCCTTTCTGGAAAAGGTTCACCATACCACCTGATAAGAAGGATGAGGCCATACTGAATCCTTCTCTCCTGCTGGCATGGCAGAGAAATGTGTAGCCTCAGCAGCAGCGTTGCTGTGGCATGTACTCCCCTTCACTGGGCAGATGAGCAAAGGAGGCACCAGTGGCTGATGTACAGGACTCTGCCTGTCCAGCCAATGTTGCTGCTTCTGCTGTCCAAGAAGCTCTTCTGTGCCAAGGGTTTGAGAGGAAGAAGGGAATATTCAGGCTCTCTGTGTCCTGCTGCGTAGACAGGTTTATCAAGCACATTAGGAGCTTGTAGTTGCAGTGTTTGCTGATGTCGCTTGAGCTGTAGAAAGTTGTGCTTCTAACTCTGGAGGTTTTCGGCTCAGCTCTTGGTCACAAAGAGGGCAGTCTTCATCTGTATGTGTGTCCTTTCCCCCCCTTCGCTGACACTTGAATACGTCAGCGATTCCTGGAGGTGAAGAGAGGCTGTTGAACAGAGGGAGAATGAAAAACAGTGATTCCCTCCTAGACATTCAATCCCAGCCTAAATAAGGGGACTTATGAGCCAGGTGCTGAGTGACTGCACTGATTTATCATGTCTCGCACTAGAGTCAGTTATTGCGGTCAGGGGTGAGCTGGGAATATGCGTGCTTATATGGGGGAGCGGGGAACTGAGATTAGCCAAATAGACATAATATAAATGTCCTCTATCTTGGTTGTGTAAAAAGATGGGAGTGGGCCAGTAGGTGCATTGGCAGTTGGACTAGATGGTTGTTGTAGTTCATGAAAGTCTGATTCCTGCCCTGCAGGGGAAAAATCCTCTTTATGTTCTCTGAGAAGATCTGTGGGTAGTAAAGGGAGCTGGAGGAAGCTGGTTTGGGTGGCTGCCATGGCTACCTGGCAGTCCCTCAGAGCGACTGGGCTGGAGACACTTACTAGTGGCCTTCCTGTAGACCTGATGGCAGTAACATGCACCTGCTTTTCCACCTTGACCCTCTTCTCTCCAAGAGGAGCTGAACGTGATGGCTGAGACCTGTGGCTAAAGGACTGCTGTGTTCAGCAGAGCAACAGAGACTTCAGCTTTCCAGTGCTTTCTGGGCAGTCAGGCTCTTGCCAGCCAGGGCTCCGTTGCTTTTTGAAGTGTTCCCTCAGCACCTTTTCTAGCCCACCTCTGGCTCCCTAGAACCTCCTGTGACTGAGGACTGGGTGGGCTTTTCTCTGTTTTTACTGGCCCTGCGAGCCAAGGCTTTTTTAAATTATTTTTATTTTTTTTTTCCACGGTCAGGTTTTATTTTCGATTAACAAAGATGATGTAATCGAGCCTAACCAGCTGTAGTTTGCATCCTTGTCTCCCTGCTGCTGGAGTTGCTTGGGGCATGGCAAATAACTGCTGCCCTCCTCCACAGCTGCAGTTTGCCCAGCCCTGTTGTGATGGACCTACCTTCCTGCCCAGAAAATGAAATGCTTTGTTGAAAGCCTGGGAGCGATCCACTTAGCTGCATGGAGAGATCATTAAGAGAGAAGTGTGATAAGGGAAGTAGTCTGATAAGGACTTTTTTACAGGCTGTGGGGAGCTGTGCTGTGCAGGGTGGCAGTGAGAGGAACAGCGCTGGCTGCTGACACTCTCAGACGTGACACTTGGTCTGAGTGTCACATAGATTCATGGTGTAAGGTCCCCAGTTGCTCTCACAGTCAGCTCCTGCCAAGCATGTGCATGGTGAGAGAAGGTGGAAAGAAGGTGTGACTTTCACTGCTCCAGCCACCTTCTCTCTCTAAGGAGGTCTCTGCATGGCTTTCCGTGTTTGAGGACAGTCCAGCTGTTCTGGGAGCAAAAAACCCCACCCTGTCTGGACCAGAGACTAGCGTTAAATCAGGATAAGTGTAACCACACAACACAAGGCATATTAGGGATGTGGTTTGTTTCTTGCTGGTCCAGGAGATAAACTGGGTTGCTATTGCCTTGTCTGCAAAAAGCATTAGACCAGCAAAGGACAAACCTCAGTCGTGCTCTTTGGTACAGCAAAGTATAAGATGTCTGAGTTCATCCTGATTCATCTGTAAGTCTTTTTTCAAACTACGACTGTGTGCAGAAATATTCCAGAAATTGAATGCAAGAATAAGGGAGACTTTTTAACTTTCCTTCTTTCAGCCTCATGAGCAAAAACTTGCAACTGTTTCTTTGTCTCTGCTTTGCTATATCTGTGTTTGAAGTCTCCTATCTTTCTCCTCTTTCTGCAGGTCCTTCAGAAGCTTGGGAAAGCAGATGAGACAAAAGATGAGCAGTTTGAACAGTGCGTGCAGAATTTCAACAAACAGCTGGTAAGATAATTGGCGATATGTAATTACACCCTTCGTTTCAGTATTAGCTTCCAGTCATCTGCTGCAATATGCAATTAAAGTCCATTAAATTAAATGATGCCATAGGCCTATTGAAGTGACCCATAACTCGTAGCTGTTCACTTATGAGAAATGACACTGTGTCTTCCAGTGTCCCTATCACAGAGTCAATGAGAGTGTATGCTGAAAAATAATACTTGTTCTAGACCCATGTTTAGGAAAAGAAATAGCTCAGCCAGAACACTTCCTTCAGTTAGCAGCTGCTTTGTAATGTAATTTTTCCTGCTGGGCTGGAAGCAGAGACATAGGAGCAACATTGTGTCTCTGAAAGATGGATAGGATGGGAAACAGACTAGAAAGCAAAAATAAAATGGAACAAGGCAGATTCAGTTTCCTAAGTGCAGTGGAGGGCAGAAGAGACAAAGAAAGCAAACGGTGAAAAGGGAACATCCTTCCATGGCTAAGATCTAAATCTGACTTCCTCCTCATCCTTGCACAATCACCCTGTCAGGCCTGAGTCATTATTCTTTCGCGTGTCGGCTTCATCCCTCTATTTTAGTGCACAAAAATATTTTAACAGTGTAGCAATTTTCCCCCACCCTTCTACTGAAACAGCAATCGGTTTATATCTTGAACTGGGTGTGGTTTTTTGTTTGTGTGTGTATATATATATATATATAAAATATATATATTTTATCTGGAGCTTACAGCCACCCAAGGGAGGAGAAATCATCTCTTACTCCAGGAGATTTGCACTGTAGTGCTTGGTGTTAAGGAAAGTGTTGTTTCTGTTTCGTGGCAGGAAATGCATGCCACACCAAAGCTCAGGTGGTGCTGAAGAAATCTTTTAGCCCCTTTGTGTCCTGACATATTTAGGACCTTTTTCTGGACCTGTTGTGGCAGCTGCATCTAGTTTGTTAAGACTCACCAGATGTGGTTATGTGTCACAAAACCAGCTGAGAAGGGATTTGCCACAGCTGAATATAATGAAAATCTTTCAGTCTGACTGACTTATGTCTAACTGGAGCTGACTCCAGATTCCTGGAGACTAATGCTCATTCTCTTGGCAGTGATAGTAGCTGTTGCTCCAGAAGTTCATGCAACATCTCTCTAGCATGTCCACCAACGATATCCTCTTGTACACAGAGGAATACAGTTTGGCAATCAGAAAACAGCCTTTTTAAAGGAGAAATACTGAAAAACTCAAATCCAAACTTCTTGATCTGGCTGTCTGGGATGGCTTTTCAGTTTCCAAAGCCATGAGTTCCAGTGGTGCACTGAGAAGCCTGTTAAAGCAGCACTGCCTCTGTACCCCTTACAGCTGAATTTATTTTCTTGTCTTGCAGGGGCAGGCCATGAACTAAATTCTCCAAATAATTTATCAAAGGAGCTGGAGGCTGCTCTGCATTTGCTGCTTGGGGTCTGTTGATTTTGCTTTGACCCTCAGTTTCCCTATTACTAAAATAAATGCAAACAATGCCTGTTTTACAGGGCTAACCATAAATGTGAGTTAGCTGGATTGTTAGGATAGCCAGGGCTGAGGAGTTATTATGATGCCAAGCAGATTGGGGAAAAAACTGCAACTCTATGTGTGTATAGACACACTTGTTTTTATTTTTATATGTATGATATCTGTGTGTAGTATAGCTATGTGTGAGATTTCTCTGGTCTTTCCTTACAAAGGCTGCTCCAGTGGGAAACGTAAGTCTGGAGGAAAGCTGATCTTTTGCTGCAGGCTTGTGACAGAACAGCTATCCTGTGGAACTGGCTGGGGTGTGACCAGGCAGTGGCCTTGTTTGCTGCTTGATTAGAGGCTCCTCTGACGCTAATGACTGTGTTGGGCCACTTTGACACATGTTCCCATGTGTGGGCTGTCGATGAATGGAGAGCAGGTCTAAAAATCACTTATTCATTTTCAGCCAAGGCGTCTTGTGGTTCTCTCAAATGGTGGTTGGGGGGACGTAAGGGAAAGCATTGCACTTCCCCGCTCTCTGTCCATTCAGGTTCATATAAGAGCACCACTCTCAGGTCTCTGAATGGTAGGAGCTTTTAGCCGAGACAGATGGATTTGCTGAGTGACAAATGAGCTGGACATAACCATGCTTCTGCAGGGCTACAGGGTTCGCCTGCGTCTCTTGAACACTTGACAAGCAGCACAACTGGCCCCCATATTATTCCCTCATGACAGATTATCTTTGGCAATTAACCTCCCAAGAAGTTCATTAGAAGGCTCCCCTCTCCTTCCCTTGCCCAGTGTCACTTGTGTTCAGGCACTGGCACAAGGGTCTGTCCTGGAAATTGTCCTCACAGACCTGGGAGCAAGAGGCCTGCTGCAAAGGTGCAACAGCCCCTGCCCGAGGTGTGGCAGGCTTTGGCTTTTCTTCCCCTGTGTTTGAAATACTTGCTGGAGAGACAGAGAGTGGGAGGCTGGTGGCAGCCCTTACACCTGGCACCACAATTGTGTTTCTGCCTGACAGAATGGCTGGGCTTTGGTACCCTTCATGAGCTGTCACTTGTGTGGAAGTTCTGGGTTCGCTTACAGTGTTTCACACCAAACGCATGACAGACAAGCTGCTGCTGGCACGGGCTGCATCCGTCTCTGCCCATACCCCACAGTGTTTGGCACAGCCTCCACCTGCAGGGCAGTCAGCGTGGACTTAATCTTTGCTCTTGAGGCGTAGGTTTGGCTGTGGGCCATTATAGTCAGTAGCTCAGAGAGAGACTTTCTGTCCAGGCAAGAACCCTTCGTGCCCAGCAGCTTCCATTTCAGCCCTATGTAGCAAAACAACTTTAACAGCTTGGCTGGTACCCCAGGATGGGAGCTTCTCACCAGTTGTTCATGCTTTGTGTCTTAACAGCTCTGAAGTTTTGCTGAGTGGGGGCTCATCTGGAACTGTTGTTTCAATGCTCCCTCCGCCCCCGCTTTACAATTCCATAGTCTGCTCTTCCAGCCCTATATTGATCTAATCTGGAACAGGACATTACCTGTCCCTCTCAGGTGTAGAACATCCCTGCTGATAATAATCATTCCTATCAGAGCTGCAAAACCAGGGAGGTTATGTAAAGAAGGGGTCACAGTCTCGTGTTAGGATGAAAGAATTTCTTTTGAAGATTGGGGGGGAAAAGGGTTTTAGGAAACCTGTCTACTACCAAGAAACAGCTCTATGGAAAATCACATACTTAGATAGTGCTCAGTGAAAGGTATTGTAAATAACAACCCTCCAACAAAACAAGAAAGCACAAAAAGAAACGAAACCATTCTTGTGTTTTAATTTAACAGAGCTATAAGTAATAGGTGGTTCATTAGATCTTTGGAGAGAGAGTTCTTCCAGCCTCCCAAGCATAGCACTTCTATTTTTAAATATGCATCTTCCTGTACATACTGTCCTTCATATTATACCTGGTTGTGTTATAGGCTCACAGGATTGCAAGTATGGCAAAATCTGCTCAAACAAGATGACACTTGTCTCTGAGTGGAACAACTTATTGTAGTCACTTCTACATCAAGACACAGTGTCATGGTCCCTGTGTGGAGGTGTTAAGTCAGTTCGTTAGTGCAGGGATGAGAAATGAATATGGGCTTCAGGATCAGCACTGATCTCCAATTTTTGTCCTAGTTTTACTTTCCTTTTGTGGAGTTTTGTTACTCTGAGATAGATAGATACACACACACACACGCACTACTTTTTTTTTACATTCTTGCAATTTAAAAATTACTATGCTATTAGATTTTTGAACATCTTTGGATGCAACCATACCTCTCTAACTTCCCTCTGCACACCCCTGAATCTACTGCTTTTTGATAACTGGGAAATGAATTAATTTTCCAGATTCCAGTTTAACTCTTCCCTACTTTTTTTTTTTTTTTTTTTTTTTTTTTTTATTTTTTGGCGTTTGAGGGGGCTTTTTTTAATTTGCCCCACGGGG